TTTCTCGTTGTTCGCTTTGTGTTGCCGCAGTATTCGCCACAATATGCTCTTGCCTTTTTGGTTCATGAATTTGCTGTCTAAAATTCATTTTGCCCAAACTCCGAAAAAGAAGAAGCAGGCCACGAGCTAGTGTAACTTTTTTGCCCAACATCCAGTGCAGCGATTTCCAATGCATTTACATCGCTCGCTCATGTATGCCCACAAGGGAGAGCGAGAAAAACATATACGCTTGAAGAAAGGTGATGAAACTCTGATGAAAATCGGACGTGAATTGTGAATTTTATTTGCTGCAGCCGAGAAAGAAACGCGAACATTTTATAGCGCACACATTTTCTTTTAATTTTCATTTGGTTTTACATAAAAAAGGCCAAAAACTGCAAAAATATTTACATATTTAGTTGGTGTAGCACTTGAGTAAAGAAAAATTTCAAAAAATAATCAAGTACCACCAAAAATAAATCAATTACACCAGAGACAATTGAATCGAGAAAAGTGAAGTGGCATAAGAAGAAACGACGGGCGCCGCCACTCGCGGAAGCACCATTTAAGCACAGCTAATAACACATATTTGAAAATTAAAAGTTCTCGAAATTTCCAGTAAAGGAATATGAAATGGGTAAGATATGTTTTTGTAAATAAAGTGTAAACAATTTGCCAAAAATACATAATACGTTTTTGAAAATTATATTTAGTATATGGTGACGAGTACGTTATGTGCAGCAATAAAAGCGGTGGTGGAATTGGCAAGCGAATATGGACAAAACTACTAAAAATCCCAAAAAATTAGTTCTTTAACTAGTTTAATAGATAAAATTGGAATCAAATAAAAAAATCTCACTTAATTGGCTCGCACCTTGTCTTGCTTGCAACATTGAACAGATAAAATATTCACACGCCACAACACAATTTTCCATTTTTCCGCTGTAGAAGTTGATCTCTCTTGCAAACACACGCACATATCGATTAGTTTAAGTTTCAATGCTAAAGCCAAGTTATTGAAGAATGTAATTTGGTAGATATTTATCTCTCACGTATTGTTTATTTTAATGTACATTGATGTATGTATACATGTGTGTGTATTAAATCTCTTACAGGTATACGCCCAGCTAACGCTTCAATCAAGCGCAAATCAAGTTTGAAATAAACCAATAAACAAGCATAATCCAATCAAGTAGCGACGAAATAAAAATAAACGATTGTCGTACGTCTCTAAATCCTCCACCACCACTACTCAGAAACGCTATTCCGAACCGACCCGATTAAAATTAATAAATAATTTCTTGAATATACCGCGCCCGCGAAAGAAATTTTTTGTGATTCTTGCAGAGGAACGAAAGAAAGATAGCAAGAGTTAAAAAAAATTCAAAATTTATCAAATACGCTTAGCAGTGAAATCTTTGTATATAAAGTCGTTTTGAAGCAACGTGGCTGAAACAGCAGCAACAGCAAAGCCTACAACAGCTGATGTAAGTAGTGTAGCGACATGAGCATTTGGCCTTCCTGTACAGTGCGCCGCTTTCAAGTGGCATTCACAAACATGCACGCTTGCTTTACGCAAATTTGTTTGTTAGCTGGCTGTTTTAGTATTTAACTTTTTGTTTGCGTTTACCCTAAAAATTATACAAAAAAAGCTCCATTTCCATACCTTAACATGACAAAAAAAAATCGTAATAGTTTCATATTACATCGAAATTTGTTTAAATGTACATAAAAATATACACAGCTAACACGAGAAAATTTAACAAAACAACAGAATAACTAGATCGTTTGTTACACAAATCATTTTCGACAACCCCTGTCGAATTTAGTTTGCATATGCTTCTGTAAGATTACGGAAATTCGTACCAGAATTCATAATGTCACATTGTCGGATTAATCACCAAACAAAAAAATGTATTTGTGCTTGGCATTGATATTCAACGCAAATAAATGCATTTTCAGAGTTCCACTATTTCTTTAATAATAATAGATTGGCGCTTACACATATGTATGTTAGTGTTTGTCCGAGCTATTTCTTTTTTACAAAAAAAAAAATAAAAAATCTATCCAAGCGACGAGATAAATACGTACGAAGCATAGATCCACGTTTGCTTAATTATGTACTTATTTATGTAGCTTTTATTTACCAGTATCATCTGGCTCAATATTTCGTAGAATTTTCAATCAATACTTCGTGCTTCTCCAGCATCAGCTGCTAAAATCTGCAAAATTTTCGGTTAATGATCGTCTTTATATTTGCAAACAAGCGAACCACTTAGAAAATTTGCTATCAGCACTGCTAATTACAATTCACAGAAATTGAATCAGACACTCTAATAAACTTATTTATTTTTGTTATTTATTTGTTGTACTCGCTTTTTACCTTGGTAATTGGTTTTTATTTTAATTATTCCTTCATTTTGATTTATTTGTAACCACAATCAATCATTTGTGCTAATATAGCGCCCGAATCTCTTTTTGCAGGCAATGCCTTCTGCCATAAGCGGTACCGGACACGGCTCAGGCGCCGTTAGTCACAACGTGAATATACCCAACAATGAGGAGTGCGGCATACGCGATGTTTGGAAGCATAATTTAGAGGAAGAATTTCGCACAATTCGCAAAGTCGTGCAAAAGTATAATTATGTGGCGATGGACACTGAATTTCCAGGCGTTGTAGCGCGTCCTGTTGGTGAATTTCGTTCCACCGCCGATTACCACTATCAGCTGCTGCGTTGTAATGTTGATCTGCTGCGCATCATACAGCTTGGACTGACGTTCATGGATGAAGAAGGCAAAACACCGCCTGGATACTCAACATGGCAATTTAATTTTAAATTTAATTTAAGGTTAATGTGGAATATGGTTTAAAATGTTCTAGTAACGATTGTTTTTTTTTTCGTTCACAGTGAGGACATGTACGCGCAAGACTCAATTGATTTGCTGCAAAATTCCGGCATACAATTCAAAAAACATGAAGAGGATGGTATTGATCCACTCGATTTCGCCGAATTGTTAATGTCTTCGGGAATTGTGCTTGTCGATAATATTAAATGGCTGTGTTTTCATTCAGGCTACGATTTTGGTTATTTACTCAAATTATTAACCGATCAGAATCTACCCTCAGATGAGAGTGAATTTTTCGAATTGTTACGCATCTATTTCCCCAACATTTACGATATTAAATATTTGATGAAATCGTGTAAGAATTT